CACAGAATTACCACATAGCAATCCCACCCCTACGTATATGCCAACTGTAAACACTGCTGCAAGCCCGTGTTTGTGCCAAAGCTTGGTCATAGCAGTGTTACTCATAGTAGTCAAAAAGCAGGAAGAACACAGCTGTGCCTCAACCGATGAACGAATAAAGAAAACGTAGTTAATCCATGCAAAGGATGACTAGCCGCAGAACAACCAATTCACATTGCAGAGCGGACAAGCCTGAAAGGGGTTATGCTGAGGGAAGGAACTCAGATGCCACAGGCCGCACATTATATAGGTCCATATATTAAAAATGTCTGTAAGAGACAAACCCTTGACACAGAAACAGACTGACTGGGTGCTGCCAGATGTTGGGGGGCAGGTGAATAGGGAGCAAGTGATAAGGGACACAGGCAATTGGCCAGGCATGGGGGCACATACCTGTAATCCCAGCATTACAGAGGCTGAGGCAGGAGGATCACTGTGAGCTCAAGGCCAGCCTGGGCTACATAGTGAGTTCAAGGCTAGCCTGAGTTACATAGCAAGCTGTCTCCAAAACCAAAGAAAGAAAAAGAAAGTCCTGCAATCAGATAGTGTTACTGGTTGTACAACCTTGTTATTGTACTAAAAAGCCCACTGAACTGTACACTAGGACGTGAAGAGCGACGTTACACTATGTGAATTATGCATCAGCTTCAAAAATAGCCCAGTGAACGGGCACCATCATCCTGGCTTCACCAGGGCAATGCGCGGTAGGAAAGTTAACATTGCCAACATCACTGTCCCACCCCACCAGCCCCAGAGCCTCCTTCCTAAGGTCGGTTTGGGCTGGTGTGGACCAGTGCGGGCTGGGGCAGGGAACAGAAGAGCTGCTCCGGGGCCTCTGGGGTGGGGCAGGGAGGGCCTGAATGAGACCCCAGCTCATCGTGTGGCTGGGCCCCGAGTCCCAGGCCTGCAGATATCCACACACAGGCGGTTTGAGCTATCTAGTAGGCAAACAGGCAAAACCCCCTAGGCCAGTGCATACCCTGCACCAGGCAGGCTGGCCCCGGGGCGCTGGGCGTGGCCAGAGAAAACCTGTAGAGACTTGCGCGTCACTTCACCTAGATTCCCTCCTGTCCTGCAGAAAGAAAGCTCCGACGTGCCCCTGGGCAGACCGCACGGCCTGTCACCTACATAGCAGGCAATGCCAGACATGCGGGGCAGCCACTGGCTGCATCTGCATGAAGGGACTACTGAGAGCTGGAAACTTGGCCGCAGCTCCAGGAGAGGGCTGGGGAAGCGCAACATTTCTGCTGGGTGTTTGCGATGCCCCCAAGTCTCTTCCCCGTGGCTCTCCCACCAGGGACGCCCTCTCCAGGCCTTCGCCCCAGCAGGCTCCTCTGGCTTTCTCTCTTTCACGAACAGTGTTCCAAGCCGAGGGTAGCAGCACTCACCTGCAGTCCCAGCTACTCAGCGAGGCTGAGGCAGGAGGACGGCAAGCTCAGGCTCAGCCTGGGCAGCTTAGCAAGAGTCTGTCTCAAGATAAATTTTAAAAAGGGCTGAGGGTGCAGCCCGTGTGAAAACCTTGTGTTCAGTTCTCAGTAGAGCAAAATAGCAACAACAGCACTGGGTGTGCAGGTCCACTTGTAGGCCTGTAAACACAGCATGTTCCATCACCTTTCTGTGCCTCATGGGTGAGGTGGGGGTGGTAGGGTTTCCTCTGAGGCCTCCGGGAAGGTGAAATGGGTTAAAGCGTGGGCAGAACCTGGCCTGACGCATGGTCGGCTCTGTCTCATTCTGCCGCGGCTGTCACACTGAGCCGCCCATGGCCACCTGACCGCCGGCCAGGCAGGTTTGGGATCTGCTCTTCTCACTCTTTCTCGCAGAAAAGGAAAACGCTTCCTCAGAGGGCAGCTTTGATCCTCAGTGGCCTCTCACACTTTTTCTTTTTTTGAGACTGTCTTGCTGTGTAGCCTAGGGGGGGCCTGGGACTCATAGTGATCCTCCTGCCTCAGCCTTCCCAGTGCTGGGATTACAAGCATGCAGCTCCACGCCCAGCCCTCTTACACTTTATCCCCTTTCCTGCTGTGTGCCAAGGCCGCTAAGACCAGGGCCCTCTGCTACTGTCCCTGGACATATCCTGACCGCGTTGCTAGGCCTGGGTGGCCTGTGAGGCTGTATGCTGGGGAGCTGAACATCTCCCTGCCGCGGCACTGGGCCAGGCACTGCTTCGGGAGCAAGGCTCACACCCTGCCCTCGCTAGGAGGGAGCTGGGGTCCTCGGGGTGGGCGGGCAGCCTGCAGACTAGTGGGACAGACTTTTGCTCGGGGGCGAGGGGGGGCTCTTTCACAGAGGGCCAGTCACACCCTGGTAGTGCTGGGCCGTCACTGCAGCCCTGCTGTGCAGCGTGGGGAGGGGAGGCTGCCCCAGCTGGCCTGTAGACTTTGCAGTGACTGACCTGTCCCTAAAGACACCCTCTGCTCTGCGGCACACAGCACCTGGCAGCTGTGTGGGCCCCACACAACACAGGGAGAGGGTACAAGTTTACAGTCCCATGACGTCTTCTACCCACGGCCTGTTGGTGTCCCTGGGCTGACGCTGGAGGGGGCCTGAGGGGGACGGGTGGGATGGCACAGAGCCTGGCCCCTCTCGCACCCTGGAGCCCCATCCACAGAAGGCAGAGGGAGACTCAGGCTGTGTGTCCCGCAGCCCCCAAAGCAGCTCCAGGCCTGCCCAGAGCAGGGCTTCTGCGCAGCAGAGGAGAGATCAAAGCTTTCCTGCCTGGTGTAGGTGACCGCACTGACCGCTCTCGAGGAAATGAGGGCCTGGGGCCAAAGTGCGTGCCCGAGTCACGTGTGTGCTCTGAAAGGCAGCCTTGTCTCTCCGCGCCCCACCCCGTTCTACGTAATAGTTACATCTCGTCCTTTCCTAACCCACAGGCCTCAAGCTGCGGGGCCTGGCTCATACACAGAGCTCCGAACCCCAAAGCCTGCAGGAGAGGCTGGGCGCCTGTGGGGTGGAGCATGGGGTCCTCCTCCCATGGACATTGCCAGGGCATAAGAGGGGTTCTTTGTGGCTGCCTTGCTTTGGGTGTTTTTTGGCAGGGGGTTATTTCCTTGCTTTTTGGTTTTTTGAGTCAGGGTCTTGCCCTGCAGTTCAGGCTGGCCTTGAGCTCAGTTTGTAGCACAGGCTGCCCTTGATCTCACAGCGATTCTCCTGCCTCAGCCTCCTGAGTGCTGGGATCACAGCGTGCACCACCACGCCTGGCTTAGGTTTGAGTTTTCATATCTCCTTCATTGGCAAAATCAAGGACGTCTCCAGGGTTGGGGACAGTGTGCTGGTCTGAGGTAACCCCCGTTCTGCCATGGGCTCCCCGATTCAGGAAAGGCAGCCTTCCCCAAGAGTGGAGGAGAAACGGAATCCTGAGTCCGAGACGTCCACGCTGGTCCAACAGGGCAGCGCCATCGCTCAGAGCCCTGAGCAGACGGGGGCAGGGGAGGTGGAGGAACGCACACGGGACTCAGGCCTGGCGGCCGGCCTTGCACCAGCCCGGACAGCAGCCCTGGACCAAGCTCCGACCCCCACAGGCGGCTCCGCCCGCTCCCTGCAAAGTCGGGCCATCGGCTGAGGCTGCTTGCTGTGGCCCCGACTGGGGATGCTCAGCCTGGCGTCGGAGAGACTGGCTCCGGCCTGGACACGGAGCACATGGTGGGGCACGCTGCCACGGAGCCCACACTTAACACAGTGCCCACAGCCACGCGGCACGGGGCAGCACAGACTCCCACGCAGGCAGGGCCCCAGGCTGAGCAGGGCGGAGCAGCAGTGGACCCGCCTGGCCCAGGAAGGCTGCCTGTTCCCTGCATCTGAGGCGCCAGGGAGGGGACGCAGGTGGTACCAGGTGGTCGCCAACCGTGAGGCTGGGCTGTCTCTGACTCGGGCAGGAGCAGGAGGCAGGCAGCACAGCCCGCCGCTGCGGACAGGTGACCTGGGCTCTGACCCCAACACACACGCACACACTCACACGCGCACACGCCCGTCCCTCATCCCTGCAGGGCGGAGGAGCTCACAGGCACCTGGGGCCATGGTGAGGATGGAACAGGCCCAGTAATGCTTAGCCCAGCAGGTCCCTGGTGAGTCACAGCTCAGAACAACGGGGCCGGGCTCCATCACCCACTTCCCTCCTTCCTGGAGAGGGGCAGGGCCCTGGCTGCCCTGAGGGACCTTCCTGCCAGCCCAGGGATACTACCTGAGACATCTGGGTGGACACACCCTTCCTGCCTGCGCCCTGGCGCTGAGCGGGACGTGGTTAGACCACAGGCTGCAGGGCCGGGCCTCCCTCCCAAGTGGGACAAGAAGAGGGTGCTAAAAAGGAACCTCTGCAGGCAGCTGCTTCCCTGTGGCTGGGTGGACTAGCACACTTAGCAGTCCCTAGGCCAGACAAGGGTGGGGGAGTCCCTGGGGACAGAGACCCAAGGGCCGTGAGGGCACAGCTGGGAGGTGACAGGCCCCTGTGAGAAGAGCAGCTCGCCGGGGTGACGGTGACTTCCTTTGCTCTTGGGGCCCAGAAAGCAACTTCTGGGTGAACTGAAACCTACCCGAGACTCTCAGCTCCCTGAAGAGCAGCTTTCTCCGGGCCCCTAGGCTCTGGAAGGGTTCCTCTGCATGGAGCCATTCTCGGGGTTTCTGAGCTGGGCCCCTCTGCCCGGCACCTGAGCTGAGCAAGCTGCCAGCTAACACGCCCACCTCCGGGGAGAACTGCCTCTGCCAGGGCAGCCCGGGGCTGTGCCTCGCGACCAGGCCCAGAATGGCTCTGGGAGCCCAGCAGCTGCTCCCTGAACCCCAAGGCCAAGGTCCCAGGAGCCTTTGCTGGCTGCCCCAGCAAACCTGGCGGCAATGTGCAAGTCGGGTCACCTCGCTCCCTGACACGGGAGCAGCCCGACCCAGCCCCTCGCTGCCCCCACCCTCCCCGTGGGCCCTCGGTGGCCCCGGGCCCGGCATTCAGGCCCCAAGAGGATGCGGGTACTCACAGCACGCAGAGCGCGTACGCCCGGGAGATGGACTCGCTGGCGCGCACCAGGAAGCTCCCATCCTTGCCGGCCCTGGACAACAGCTCCTCCGCCTTGGAGCGGGTGATGTTGCCGTGGTTCCAGCCGGAGACCATGGTGGGAGTGGGTCTCCTGCGCTGGAGACCTGCCGCCTGTACCCTCCGGTCACCTCTGCTGCTGCCACCAGCTTCGCTGACTGCCTGACTTCCTGTTTCAAGCGCTCAGTGAGGGAAAGGAAACTGCGCTGCAGAGGACTTCCTCATTATAGAAGCCAGCAGAGAAAAGAGGCCTGGCGTCCATCTTCCCACCCGCGGGCCGCCGGGCGCCGGCTCCGCCCTCTCCCTGTCTGGCCCGTGGTCTCCCCAGGATGGGTCCCAGCCTCCCACAGCACCCTGCACGAGCCAAAGTCCTGCCTGCAGGGAGCACGCCTCCCTCATCGCCAGGGGACACACTGGCTTCTAGAGCAAAGTGGCCTGGCCAGCCAGCAGGGACTCGCCCAAGGAGGCCCACGTGGGATGGGCGTCCTGGTCACACCCCTGAGCCTCCCGGTCTGCCCTCGGGCTGTCTAACTCCCCGCCCACCCCCACGTACCCAGCAGCGGCCAGAACCAAGTGGACGCCAGGGACAGTCAACCCCGCCCCTCCCCCACAGGGGCCCAAGGCTGCCAGACCCCTGCAGCCTGGCCGCCCCCACCCCCCAGGACTCCAAGAGCCCCGGACAGCTCTGTGACTCCATGACACCGGCTCCTGGGGACAAGCATTTCCATCGGCCGTGCTGGTTCTTCCCTGAACTTGGTTTAAGACACACAGGAGCCCGAAGACTCGGGACAGGACCGGCTACTGCAGGCGCCACTGCAGGCAGGGCGCCCCCCGGTGGGCCTCAGGGGGAGGGGACCCAAGCGGGTCACCTAGCTGAGGGTGAGGTTCTTTCCCGAGTCCCGTATCACAGCAGGGTCCAGGGCGGCCAGTCTGCGCTCAGTACCAGCAGATTTCTGGGGATCCACAGCAGACACTGTCCCTTGAGCTCCAAAGCTGGGCCCCCTCAGTCCTGGGGTTAGGGGCAAATGGTGAGCTACTGACTCCTGGTGCCCCCGACCCCACTCCCACATCGAGGTCTGGCCCCCAGGACGGACAGCTAGCCCCTCTCTCCGGAGCTGGGTCCTGAACCCTCCACATGGAGCTGCGGGAGCTTGGAGGAGGTTCCCATCACCCCGCCTTGGTGCCTCCTCTCCCTGGGAGCACGGCTCTGGGCTGCAGCCACAGCTGTCCTGAGACAGGGGCCCACAGAGCCTCCCGCTGCAGAGGGACGCACAGCAGGTGCCTCCGGAGGGGGACAGGCCCGGCCGGCCCCAGGCACGGGGTTGCAAGGGGCAAGGGCTGGCTGGCCTCTGCACTCCTCCTTCCCCAGCCAGCCGGGCCCTGAGGACATTGGCCCTGCCCCGGCCTGGTGTGCAGCCGTGGGATCCCCATGGCCAGCTGTGCTCTCCACTCTCCAACGGTGCTCCAGACCCTCTGGGGGCTTCTGTGCCTCGAGCCCCCTCACCTGTGGGCTGCCACCTGCTCCCTCCTTGCTCTCTGCTCAAGGCCACCAGGGTCCACGGGGCTCCGTCCACACCTCGGCCCCCCTGTTCCTTGATCTGTTCCCCTCCAGGCACCTAAGACTGGTCCAAGACCCACATCCAAGACCCGTCCACTCACAGGTGACTTCCTGCCACGCCGCAGCTCCCCACCAGGCTCACGCCTTCCTCCCGCCAGCCTCGCCTTTCAACTCAAGGAGAGCACCTGACACGCACGACACACGGCACACGCATGATGCACGCATGGCACGCAGGACACATGACCTGTGGCTCACACTCGGCATGCCTGCACTCCTTGGCTTCAGGGCCCCTCCCATCTCACTTCCTTCAGCGTGATTTGACACTGTCAGCATCTTTATTCTCCAAAACACTAGCACCTAGATCACAGTGGGTGGGGTCGAGTGGACGCTTTTGGGGGGCCCTGGTTATCTAAGCAAGCAGATGAAAATGTGTGTTGTAAAATTCGTGGACCCATACGAGGCGTCGTGATTTATCAGCGGAGAGAACTGCAGACAGTCAGGTCTGAGCACGTGAACAGACTTGATGACGTCCCCGCTTTCTCTTTCCGTCCAGGTCCGGGAATCACCTCCTCCTGCTCCTCCCGCATCAAGCGCACCCCTTGGCCGGGCTCGCATCTCCCAGAGAGTTGCGGGTAGCCGTGCCACTGTCACTCACGACCCCACCGCTGTGCAGAGCGCGTCTGTTCTGAGACCGCACTGACCCCCCGCCTGCTTCCCTCACACCGCCCCCTGCCTGCTGGGTACTGTGTGACTGGTGTCACCCACAAAGGTGACACCATGACTCCCTCTGAAGCCATGCCCTGGGTCCACGGATGACCATAACACGTGTCCTACCCACAGCAGCCAAGCAAATGTTAAGGCTAATTCATTTTCTTGTAATGTTACATTTACTGTTCTGAATTTTGTAGCATAAACATAGAATAAATCATCTTCCAACTATCTGCTCTTGGACTTTTTGTTTTTTTGGTTTTTGGGGTTGTTTTTGAGACAAGAGTCTCAACGTGTAGTCTAGGCTGGCCTCAAACTTGCAGTGATCCTCCTGCCTCAGCCTCCTGAGTGCTGGGATTACAAGCATGTGCCACACCCTGCATTCTCTTGGATGTTTAAGGCCATGATCACTGCAGTCCTGTTTTCTTTTAATGATGACCGTGCACGTGAGGGCAGGAATGCTCATCCCATACCTGGGTCGTGGTGGGGTGGGAGGCAGGAGCTGTGCTGTGGAGGCCGTCGCCGCCTGACACCTGACTGGGGGTCTCCAGGGGCTTAGAGATGCTGTTGGCAAGGGTGCAGAACACGCGCCACCCCTCTGCTGCCCCCAGTGCCCAGGGTGGCCTGGCTGTGGATGCCGAGCTCAGGGCTCCTGGGGCGTCCGTCAGCCCGCTCCTGAGGTTCGGAAAGCAGCTGAGGGGAGATGTGAGGTCAGGACTCACAGGGCCCAGGCCAGGCTGGGGCATCCCGCCCACGGCCCCGCCTGCCCTGGCCACTCCTTGGCACCAGAGGGAGACTGGGAAAACGTCTGGGGAGTCAGGTCAGTGAGCAGCACCGGGATGGTCTGGCAGCCCTTGGTCCTGGGCCCTCGGCCACCTCTGGAGAGACAGACAGGAGGACAGACAGGGCAGTGTGGACCTGGCAGGTGCTACAGCCTCGAAGATGCTGGGTCTGAAACCTCTTGGCCGGGTGGGGTCTCGGTAGCGGGTCGCACGGGGACACCTTCGCTCCTGTGGCCAGGGTTCTCCCTGAGGAGGGTGTCAGTGCCAGAAGGAGCCGAGCCAGGGCAGGGAACTCAAAGCCGCTGCTGAAGGGACAGGACCGGGGTGGGAGGCGCCTCTCCCCGGTGCCCAGGCCTCAGATCTAAGGAGCCCCTCAGGCGCCCCTACCCGTCCTGTTCACCGAAGCTCTGGAAGATGCTTGATGACTCATCAAGAAGGCCCCCCACGGCTTGGGCAGGGGAGGGGATTCGGCTACTCGCAGTCACTGAACGCAGCGGGAGCTGTGACTGGCATTGTGTGGGCCAGCTCGGCCCGGCCACAGTACCCACAGCCTCGCTCAAAGGCCGTCCTAAATGTCTCAGGGAGTCCACAGCCATGCCGCCCTGAATGCGCCCGATCTCATCCAAATCTTTCCGTGAGAGCATTTTTAACGGCGACCTAGCACCTACCTCAGCCAACCAGCAGGCAGACTGTCCTCCACGTTTGCGTCAGCCCCCTTCCATCAGTCAAGGCCTCAGCAGAAGAACCCATGGCAGCAGCAACTCCTGCCAGGTCTCCCGCTGCCCGCTGGCGCTGCGGCCGGTGGGTTTGCACGACCAGCTCCGTGGTCGGTGAGACAAGTCCGCAAACACATTCATGTCTATCTGCTATCTGCCTGCCTGTCCATCCCTCTGTCATCTACAGCCACGCACATCACAGGTAAAGCCCAGGGTGGTGGTGCAAGCCTGTGATCCTAGCACTCGGGAGGCTGAGGCAGGAGGATCGCTGTGAGTTGGAAGCCAGTCTGAACTACATAGTGCAACACTGTCTCAAAAAACCAACAATAAATAAAATAAAATAGAAAGGAAGACGCAAACACACTTGAGCTGAGGCAGAGCCAGGGGCAGGATGACCAAAGTCGCTGCCTTCCTCCCCCTCACCTTGCCCCCCGGAAGGTCTTCATGGGCACTGACACGCACAGAGCTGTCCCCTGTCATGACCAGCCTTCTCCCAGGTGCTCCTGGGGGACCAGGGCTCCGCTTGGCTTGATTCTTCTTTCACCGTCGATCTGCATAGGTGGATAAGCAACTTTCCCGTGCTGGCTTCTAGGTTTCAGGCTTTAGAAGGGGTTGCCGGGGTCTGCGAGGCTTCTGCCGGCCTCCTCCGTGTCCCTGGGGGCTCTTCTTTGTCTCCCCCACACTTTCTTTCTCTGTTGAACCGGCAGCTCTGCGTTCCCGCTCCCCAGCCAGCAGCTCCGCGTTGGTCTGTTCCTCAGGATCACCAGGAAGAGCGCCCCGTGCCAGCCCTGCCACACCCGGGGTTTGGCCTCCCCAGCCACAACCCTGACGCCCTCGCAGCTGTCACCCTGGAATTGCACCAGGGCCTTTGTGGCATCTTCCGCAGCTGCAGCAACGGCCCAGCAGAGGTCCCTCCTGGGCCCAGGCCTCGAAAGCTGCTGCGACACTTGGTCATTTCACTGGAGGAAAGAGCTGGGGTTTGGAGGGAGAAACAGGTCTGTGACACTGGGTAAGGATCTAATACAGGAGGATGAGCCAAGCGTGGTGGCGCAGGCCTGTAATCCTAGCACTTGAGAGGCTGAGGCAGGAGGATTGCTACAGGTGCGAGGCCAGCCTGGGCTACATAGTGAAACCTGTCTCAAAGAAACAACTGCTCCCAAATAAGACTGCTGTCCTGCCCTTAGAAACCTGACACCTGGCGCAGACTTGGCCTCCTCCTGGTTGAAAGTCATTTCAAGCATCCATTTCCAGTATAGGGAGCCTTTCTCTTCACTGAAGATTTGCTCCGGCAAAGTTTCCTCCACCATCAGCTTATGTCAGGTTTCCAAAAGTTCTTCCACCACTGAAGCACCATTCTGTGGTGTGTGACTCCGGGGAGGTGCCACATGACATTTTGTATGAGTATATGCACATCTATGATGGAGATCGCATAAGATGATATGGGGCTGAGCTGGGCATGGCAGCGCACGCCTGTAATCCCAGCACTCAGGAGGCTGAGGCAGGAGGGCTGCTCTGAGTTCAAGACCAAACCCTACCTCAAGAAAACTAAAAAAAAATTAATTTTTTTTTTTTTTTTGGTTTTTTGGTTTTTCTCCGGTACCAGGAACCGAACTCACGACCTTGCGCTTGCCAGGCAGGCGCTTTTGCCGCTGAGCTAAATCCCCAGCCCAAAAAAAATTAATTAATTACCGATGTGTACTGT